TTCTTCATTCAAGGACGAAACACATTGACATTAGGCACCATTTCATTAGAGATCATGTTCTCAAAGGTGATGTCGAAATTGAGTTTGTTGAAACACACAACCAATTAGCCGACATTTTCACAAAACCTTTAGAGAAAGAGTCGTTCTTCCGCATTCGTAGCGAACTCGGAATCCTTGACTCCACGATGATCTAATTTGTGCATTTTATCATTCTTTTATTGTTACTGGAACGTTTACTAACTTGAGCGTCGGAGGGTTTTCTAACTCTTTTTTGCAGGGACGGTTCGAAGTGAAGAACTCTGGAAATCAGGGGAACCAGCGATGGGTAGGCCATACCATCGCTGGGAGGGAAGTTTCCTTTTTTTCCAGAACCCCTCTTCCCATCGATGGGTGCTTCTTCCCATCGATGGGTAATTGACTCTAATTTTTTAAAAATACTTAACGGATTTCCAGAACACCCTAACCCATCGATGGGCACTTTGTCCCATCGCTGGGTGAAGGACTTTTATCCAAAAAAAAATTTCTGAACCTCCCATCCCATCGATGGTAACTTTCTCCCATCGATGGGTGTTTGACACTTGTTTTTTAAAACGTTTTAACGGATTTCCAGTAGCCACCCTCCCATCGATGGGTGAGTTTGACCATCGATGGGAAGGCAGCCTTAATTTCTTCCGTGCTTTCTAGTGGTGATCATCCCATCGATGGTTCGTTCATACCATCGATGGGAGCCTGCCAAAATTCAAAAAAAAATAACCGTTGGGCAATGAATTAAATGCCCAACAGTCATATTTTTTGAATTCTTCTCGGTTTTTCCACTCCTTCCCTATAGATATTCACCATATTTGGTCATTCATCCTCACAATTCTCCTCCATATTTCATAGTTCATCTTTTATTCTTCACAATTCTTCAAATTCTTGCTTCAATCATGGCCGGAGGAAAGAAGACAAAAGCTTCAAAGAAGAAGGCCGCCGCCGAGGCTACGAGCTCTGCGCCTCAACCCTTTCCATACCTGGACGGATCCTTCTTGGAGTTCGGGTCGGAGGAGGAACTCAACCGGTTCCTCACGCACATTGCCAATCGTCCCATTTCTCCGCCTAGGGTGCTGCCCGAGTTGTACCCTCAACAAAAGGGGTACCACGACCTCGACAACCAGCTTCAAGCATCGGGTCTGTGGTCGTTCGTCTTCAGGAGCCGCTCGAGCTTCAATCCCGCCTTTGTGCGAGCCTTCTACTCCAATCTCCGCCGGGACGGGGACACCATTCGCAGTAGCATCAATGTCTACGACATAGAGATTGATCTGGCTACCTTCGCTCGGGTCGCAGGGCTGCCCACCCGCGGTGACGACATCACAACATATGGCGGCGATGATTGGATCCTCAACAACGAGGCGGTGGTCATCCGAGAGCTTGGGATCACCAACCTCATCCGTCACAGCGGCGCACCAACAATCCACTCCGCCCCGCCGGAGAAGCGTCTTCTTCTCTACATCCTCACCCGGATTCTTCGCCCCCGGGACGGTAGCCACACATGTCTCTTCAACGAGGATCTCAAGGCGGTTCATGCTATCACCCACGGCGCCTCGATCAATTGGGCAAAATACGTCATGATTCACATGGCAGATTGCGCCTCCATCGCCACTGAGCGGAGCTTGCCAT